TCCAATGGCAACGAGAGAGAGAGAGAGAGAGAGAGAGAGAGAGAGAGACTCTCTCCCTTTAATCTCTTTTTTTTTTCTTCCAGTCAGTGCTGCCTCTTTCTATGGAGACAATCAGAGTCTGTACAATTTACTGTTCCTCCGCAGTGATTTCAATGAATTACCTTAATCTATGTGGGTCATTTACATCAGATATGTCGCCGCGTCTCTGCTGAACAGTCCCCGCTGTGTACCACCGCTCTTTCGGACGGCAGCATCACGTTGGATTTTAACAGGGGCAGAACGGAGTTAGATTTTTTCCCTTGTGTGGCACATACATTTTGACCGTACCTCAGGAAGTCGGGGCGGCAGGACAGAAGCCGTACGATGCAGATACCGCAAAGGTAAGTCAGAAGAACAGCCCTGGAAGTGAAAGTATCTCTATTTTGCTGGTTCCCAGAATGTTTTCCCTCTCTCCCTCTTTCTCGCTCTCTGAAAGCTTCATACATCCGGACGAACGAACAATTTTGCTTTGAGTGTTTAATTCGCGCCGGCTACACGCGCTTATTTGCATCAAAAAGGATGACCGTGCAAACTATTTCAGTAGTTTTTAAACAATACAATTTGCGTGGACATTTTTTGTGTGTCAGAATCTACATTTAAAGATGAAGCGCAAGTACACTGCATGAAAGAGTTTTTCATTTGAGTCATAGTAAATATATGTACACACCTGATGAGGATAAAGGTTTTTTTTTTTTTTTTAAAGCAAATTAAGGGTTCGTGTGGCAGAAGTGTTTCGGTATATCACTAGGCTACTTACCTGTGGCTAGCCAAACCTCGGTACAGGGAGATAGCCTATGTTGATTGATGTATGATTGTTTTCCTCATCGTATATCGGTTCACATCCATTTGCTCGTTAATCACTCGCTCTGTGGCTGGGATAAATCTTTCGAGATTTCGTTTCTCGAGAGCCATAATTTTGGGTCAGGATTTGAGAAATGCGATGCTATTACTTAAAACACAATGCATTCTCGATAAAATACAATATCAGTCTGTGAAAGGACACTTAGAAGGTGAGCTCAGACTGAAGACTTGGCGATATGGCGTGTTTTGTTACTTAACTTTCGCCTGGCTCTAGGGTTACAGACGAACTACATTCTCATGAAAAGATGCGGTGAGTCCAGACGTTCATCACAGGGGCCACTGTTTCAACCCAAGCTGTCCCGCTTATACAGCGGTGAACCACAAGGTGGTACTGTGGACATCCCCTGCATACGTGCGTAGTTTTGGGATGGAGTGAGGAGGGGACATTAGGCCGCCTCTCGAACATTCGCACTGTACAGCATAACCTTCACTTCTGTCAGAATGCAACTGCGTGCTATAGTGTCGGTTTAAGTGGTGAAATGGTTCAGGTAAACTGAGAAGTGCCAACAAGTTCAGTCTCTCTATAATGTAGATCCATAAAGACATTCATTAGCAGTACTTTCAAAGTGTGGGCTGAATTTGAAAAACTTGCTGATGAAGTATGTTCTTTAGGTAAGTGTGTAATATATGCCCAGCCCAGACATACTTCATCTACTGTGTTGGCATTGTTCTTGATCATATTTGTTGACCTGTAACTTGCCAACAAAAAATTGAAAATAATTTAATTATGTGCTGTAACTTAAGTTGACCTAAAGTTTACCATGTGGGGCAATTTTCTTGGTGTCTAACCTAAATATATATATTTTTTAAGTGTTGTTTCTGCCATTGTTTTAGCTTCTGTGGTAATATTGGATTGTAGATTAAGTATTGTACGTCATCTTGGTATTGTTCACCTTCTGTTGCATGAATATTTGTAATATCTTGCTAATTCAATGTACTGCTTGTTGCATGTTTTATAATACAAAGCATGCATATTCTGACACAAGGGTGTGTTGGAAAAAAATAGTCAATTTTGTAAAGCTTTAATGCAGGTTTTGGTGGCATAATAAGGTGTAGGGATAGGCCTAGACTGATCATGAGCTTGAGAATAGTTTGTTGACTAAACAATAGGAAATTGGCCTACCTTTTATGTTTTGTGTAGTGAAAATGCAAACATAATTGTAATCACTGTTGCCACAAAAAATAACTAAATAATGTGTGATGAAGCTGCTTTTGAGTTTGCAGTCACAATAGTAGTTTAAAATAGGCATGGTGCTTTTACAAGCCAAATTAATTATGGTCTTGATCGCTGAGGTTTAGAGTTCAGTATTAATTTCTCTCTTGTTCTCTCTCACTAACTCATATCAGTGGTTGGCTGTTGGTGTTACCTTTGAATACAATTTTCACTCTCTCTCTTTGCTTTCTGGGGTTCCTGTCCACACTCAGTCAACTGACAGAAAGATAAAGGAGAGAATACAGCTTGAGAAAGCAAATTCCAGCTGACTTGCCAGCCCAGACGCCATGTTGAATAAGTCATAGCAGGTGCATTTGCGGCGGAATCGCACCACATTTATCCGAAGTTCACCCAAAGGTCACAGTGGATTCTATGCTTTATTCCATTGTCTTTTGTCTATCGCTTGGACCCAAATTTATTGTCTCCTTTGCGTCATGAGTCACTCTTTGAACAGTGCAATTGTTTGAGCCTCCTTCAAATAGATCATTTATTATAATTAAAATTCAGAGAGAGACCCAGCACCTTCATTGAGATTCGCGTGAGTTATCTTCGGTGATCACACAGGCAGTGAATGCTATTTTCTCTCCTTTGTTCTCTTTGGTCTCATTTCTCACTTCTTTTTATTTGTCATACTCACTCATGTATCGAAGGTACATTTAAGGGAAGTGTGCGGTACATTTACAATGGAAATTCCACCCAATTACCTTTATCTAAATGTAACTGACAGAAACACACATTCTCACATTTTAAATGTTTTTATGCATGTAATACTAGAAAATAGCATGTATTATAATTCATCAATTGAGGACATTAAACTGGGAGAATATTTGTTTATTTATTAAAATCAAACAAATCACAGTTACTTGGCACTGAAGGAACAGTTCACACAAAATAAAAAATAATTTGTTCTTGCTCCAAATCTGAATTACATTCTTTCTTCTATGAAACGCTTCTTGTTCTTATTTCTTCTTATTATTTACCCCAGACAATCAGTGGAAGTCAGTGGGGACAAATGTTGTTTTGTCTCATTGTGTGGACAAAACCAATTTTTCTAAAAAAAAAAAAAATTCATACACGTTTTAAACAACATGAGGACGAGTAAATTACACAATTTTCCATTTGGGGTGAGCTATCTCTTTGGGCTGATAGCCAGTATGGACAACTTTATTATTTGTTCTTTGTTGTAATATGGTATTTTGGCAGAAAGTGCTTCCTTATACTGAACTTCTTAAATGTAAGCATTGCTTGAGGATGTAGCAATATTGGCGCAAAGTTATTGAATAAATCCCTCTTGGCTGGTCTATCTGGACATCAGATGGAGAGTGCATGCAAACTGGTGGATGTTACATAGCTTTTTGTCTGCGTTGGAAATTAAATTGCCGGCCAGACATTCAGGCCCATCTGCTTTGGAGGACAAAAGCCTATGTAATGTGAATCATTTTCTGAAATGCCCATCTCAATGTCATAATATATAATGATAAACTGCAACGCGAAAACGAATGAAAGCTTAAAAAATCAGTAGGCCTACCTCTTAGATCAACAAAGGCCTGTTGATGGATAATGCTGTCTTAATTGTTAATTGTTTACCAAGTTTATTAAAATGTGATTTATTTAAAGCTGCAGTCCGTAAGTTTTGCTTCTTTGTCGCCATCTCTGTTTGAATAACTGGAATTGCAGCAGTGTGCGGAATTATCTAGCTTGCGTGGGTTGTGCGGTGGCTCGGCTCCAGCGCGGATTAATCTAATGTTCTGAAGAGTATGTGTGGCAGTCAGTCACTGCACCGGTGTGGATATTTACTGTACTTCGCAATCACAGATTCTAGCCTACGTCTTGGAAAATATGTCTCAAATAAGCATTTTGACTGGATATTGTCATCTGAACAAGTAACAATTCTGCCACGTTTGTTCTGGCCACCTGAGGAAAAAAGCATTACAATAAATCGCGCTACCAATGGTGATTAAATCTAAATTAGCTCATATCACATCAAAGCATGCAAATTATTATTATTGTTATACTTTATTCTCAAATTTTTAATGTTAACAACATCAGCATTGCGTGACTATGAGTATAGTGTGTATAAGCGAGTAGATTTCAATTTCTGTACTACAGTCTAAACTCTAATTGTCATACCACTCGAATTTCATATTAAGAAATTATTTTAACCCAAGAAGCAAATTATGCTTCCTTCGAACTGGATTTCTTAAAAATACAAATCTTTGTAATCCCATTCTATCTGTAATCAGAAGCACATTTAAAACTGGAATATAATTTAATTTCATTCACATGTGTTTCATAAACACATAATCCTTTCTGGATTACAATCCGCCATCAAAATTATAAATGTAATTATTCCAGCTGCTGTGAGAAAAGGCTATAAACGATCCGCCACCT